TAACAGATGCAACATATAGGATATCACCAGCATAAGCATTCGACCCGACAACAATTCTGTCGCTATTATCAATATTGTCAGGCTGAACTTTCCATTCTAAATTGGCAAAAAAAAATAATTAACATTCTTAATTATGGTGTCTTAGGCCGAAATTACAACAGTATAACGAAAATCGCACGTTCCAAACATCGGGTTAAATTAAATTAATTTCATATTCTACCATTAATTCGTCCATCAAGGAAAAATTAGTGTATTTTACAGTATCCTTACCACGTTTGATTTGTTTTACAACAGGAGGAACTAGACTTAGAAATGGAAATTTTTTTAACGATCATGAAGTAATATTAAGCTTTGATGAGGACGACTTACGAATAAATACTACGTGCTTATAGCACATGTGCTCGTATATCCATTTATTAAAATAAACATGTTGATGTAACACACAACACGTGTTAAAAATATCTTCTAGAAGCTAGTAATAACATTCACCAGCAAAATTACTAAGAACTGCAGCCGTGCTCTTTCTTATATGTGATTCTTTTCGGCTAGATTATATTGCTAAGCTAGAATATAATACCTTACTAACCAAGCAGCCTATATAGGTGTAAAATTCTAGACAGTTTTAGAAAATTTTAAAGAAAAATAGTTCTGATTATTCGTTGGAGCTTCTAAGCCTACACATACTACACAAAAAATTCAATAAAATATATTCTATCGTATAGTCCTAGTTAAGTGGAAATTGCTACGTGATTAAAAGCTAACAAATGGAGTACGTTGACTCAATAACTGTCTGTCGGTATCGTATTTTGCACACATTGAGTCTAGTTAATACAAATTAATACTGGTAGACGTTGGTATAAATATGATTCATGATTTTTCACAGACATTAGATCGTTGGTCTGCGTATTTTATTGGTAAAACTGTAGTCAATGTTCGCTATACTTTATTATTACTCTATCACGTGGTCATTATCTAGTTGTCTATTTAAAGCATAGCTTGATTGAATCAAATTTCCGTAAGTTCCCATGTATAGACGATCCCCGCGACACTGGAATGATTTTTATGAGCTATGCTCACGTTTAAAGGCAGCAACGCAGGCGACAAGAGAGAGAACTATGAAGATCTTCATTATTCGTCTATGAAAGTTACAGATTGACTTAGAATATTTCTAGTCGAAAAAAGAATATTTTTACAATCATTGCCATGTCAGAGAGTTGTACAATTCAGTAAAAATGAATAGTGTATAATATTAAAATAAACTTATCTATTACTTGGTGTAACATTTTCTC